AAGCATTTTTTTTTTTTTTTTTTTTTTTTTAATAAAAAAAAAATTTAACTAGAGAAAAAAAAAAAAATAAATAAATAAATAAAAATAAAATCTGCTAAAAAAAAATATGAAAAAGGAACTTACATATTTTGGCATACTTTATAAATTTTGTTATAGTTGTTTTTCTTTCTGCAATTTATATCATTTTTGTTATTTGAATTTTCTCTATATATCGCTTTTAAATAATATAACCATAGCTACTTTTCAGAAATATTATTTTTTTAACGTACAATATTTGAATAAAAAACATATTTTTTACCTTAATATTTTTTTTTTTTTTTTTTTATTTAAAAAAATGTATTATTTTTTGTTAATGAATATAAAATATCTAAACGTATTCCATGAATTCTAAATATAAAAATATGTATTAACTTAAAGATGAACATAAGAATTAAAAATTTGATTAAGTCATTGTAAATGTAAGAAAAAATTTTGAGAATTTTTTTTTTTTTAAATTTTATTAGGAATAAAAAAATTTTGTAAGTACATAAATGAAGAACTTTTAGGAGAAAATTACAATTTAATATTAAAAACAAGATAATAATATATCAGAAATTATAGTTAAAGAGAAAAAAATGAATATACATAGAAAATAAAAAATAGGAAATATATAATTATATACTTTTATTTTTTCTTTCTATTATTTAAAAATATATAGAAAAATTATACGAAAGTTTCAATAGCTCGTATAAATCATTTAAAAAATTAATAAAAGTTATACATGTCTATCGTAGAATATTTTTTAATTAATCTCAAATCACTTATTTCAATTAAGAAAATTTTAAATTCTAAAAAATTTACTAAATATTTGAATAAATATACGTAATAGAAAAATGTATAATTTTCTATTTCATTTTTTTTTATATTATTATTATACTCTTTTAAAAAAAGTAAATATTATTAAATGTTAATGTAAGAGGTATTTCTATACAAAAATGTGAATATAATTTAAAATTTTTACTAAATTTTTAAGATTTTTGTTAATAAAATATAATAAAAATTATTATGAAATACAAAACATTTTATTTCATATGTGTAGTAATTATTTAAAACTATATAATATGCTTAATTCTTAATTATAATTTTGTCCTATAAATTTTTTTATTTTTAGTTCTATAGGAATTTTAAATTTCGTAAATAATAAAACTACAACATATACATTAACCACATAAAGTAATATTATATAGAAAAAAAAGTTCTTGTGATACTTTTTCATGTTCTGAATTTTACAAAAAATTTAAATGAAATATAAAGTAAATATTTACTTTAATAAGATTTCATATAAATTATATTTAGTTTTATTTAATTGAAATATATTATTTATTAAAAAAAGAATACATTTCAAATAACCAAAAAAAAAAAAAAAAAAAAAAAAAAAAAAAAAAAAAAAAAAAAAAAAAAAAAAATTACATAGTCAGGTTAAAATGGTTATATAATTTTATACAGACTGAATAAATAAACTACTTTTAAAAGTTAAAAAAATATAAATATTATTAAGGAAAAAAAGGTTAAGAATATTAAAAGATTTGTATTTTTTTATTATTATAAAAAAGGTTTCAATAATTACTTTTAGTTAAATGTTTTTATTTCTCCTTTTTCCTTTTTAAAAAAAAAAAACCACTGAAAATTGCAAATGGACAATTCATATGTTAAACTATTTTATTAACAAATATACATATATTTATTTATTTTAAGAATAAAGTAAAATAAATATATTCTGATACTATAAGATACATATAAATCAAATTTTTAGTTTTGCTACGAAATACTTATTAATAATTTTATGTTATATATATACAGAGTTTTAAATTAATTTTCATAAAAAAAATTTTATAGATAATAATACATTGAACCTTTTTTTTTTTAATTTAAAATTTGTTTGCAATACTTTGCTATTACATATATAATAAAAGATTTCTAATGTAAATAAACATATATTTTATTATTTATAAAACATTTATTGTATAATATTATCACATTTTCCACTAATATATATATATATATATATATATATACCATGACTGACTTTTTATTTTTTACAAAATTTTTATAATTTTTCCTTTTTTTTTTAGTATATATGTAAATAAAGATTTTGGATACAAATTTGGTATACACAAAAAAAGAAAAATGGTTAAAATAGAATTAGTTGACGCTGGATGTTTCATTTCTCAGATGAATGAATTATTATTAATTGATCCATTATATATAACTTATGCTATAACCCACTATTTTAATTGTTTTATAAATGATAAAAAAGATCTACTACCTCAAGAAAGTTTAAATGGCATTTATTTTCCTAATGCTAAAGCAGGGTTATGGTCATCTTTTGCTATAAGAGAAAATAATAATTTTTCTTGTAATTCTAAAGATACAGATAGAAAAAAATATGATCAAGATAAAAGTTACAATAATGAAATGGTAATTTCTTTAATTTGTTTTAATAATACTGAATTTATGCATGAATATATGACTATTCAAAAAATTAATGAACTGGATTGGCAAACATATGAAATAAATAAGAATCATATAGGAAACTCTTTGAATAACAAAAATAATAATTTAAACAATGAAAAAGATTATAGTGATGAATCATTTCATTTATCAAATTATTTCACTAATATATTAACAGTAGAAAGTGGGCAAGTTGGTTTATTTTGTATCGAGTCTATTAAAAGAAGCTCAAATATTCTTTTTGAAAAAAATACAAATAATGATATTAATAACAAAGAACAACTTGATAATCTGTTCAGAGAAAATTTAAATGTATTATATCCATGGTATAACAAAATTTGTGATTTAACATTATCTTCATCTATTGGAATAATTGATTTAATTGATAAGCCAGTAGGATGTGTTTGTATTTCAAATTCAGATTGTGTTGTTAATTATTTATGTGAGATTGTAAAAGATGATATTACAGATGAAATATGGGCAATTAGGGTTAATTTTTTAAAACCATTAAAATAAAAATTTGTCCTCTAAATTTAATTTATAAGCTTTTCATAATTTAAAATATTTAACAAATATATAAAAATCAAGGTGAATTATCTAGATTATAAAAAAAAAAAAATAATAAATAAATAAATAAATATAACGAATAAAAAAAAATTGAAGAAAAATAAAAAATTTAGTCTAAGAATTAAAAGAGTATAATATAAAAATATTTATACAAAAAATTTGTTTTTACAACATTTTCATTGAAAAGTTTAAAGTAGAACGAATTATTGTTTAATAAATATATATTACATATATATGAATATATTCCTAATTTGCTATCTTTAATAATGTAATAATATGTAAAAGTAGCTGAATTCTGAAATATTCTTACTTCATATTTTTTTTTTATTTTAATATTAATTAAAAAGTTAAATACAGAACTATTTTAAAGAAAAGGAAATTTCCTTTTTTTATAGTATTTACAAATATTGATATTATTTTAAAAATTTCTATATTTTATATCTTTACATACTATGTATTGTTTAATTATTCTATTATTAAAGTTATGTTAAAAATTTTTCCATAATATTAAAAATATATCCTTTTTATTTATTATATACTAATATTTTTACTAACATCATTTTATTAAATTATTATAAATAAAAAAAATTAACATTATTAAATAAACATTAAAAGCATTATTATTAATAAGTAAGAAGGATTAATAACTAAAAACATAATATATATACATAATTTAACCATTTAAAATGGAGAAACTTTTTAATAGAAGTTTATTATTTAATAATAAAAGTAAAATAAAATAAAAAAATTATTTAAAACGAATTTATATATTAAAACCATTATCCTAAGGAAATGTGTAATTCTTTAATAAGATACAAGTAAAATATCTTTGTATCTCTATATTGATTCTTTACATTATTTATTACTTAATTCCTTTATTATATATGTGCAGTTAATATCTTCATAATTATATATTTACTATATTATTCCATGTTCATTTAATTATATAGTTAATTTTCATATTTTCCCTATTTTTTTTTTTTTTTTTTTTTTTAATATACCTATTTAACACTTTGCAACAAATGGCATTTTAACTTTTCAATTTTAACCGCAAAAACATAATATGTATTTTAATACAAAGAAGAAAAAATCGTATTTTTTTTGATTATTTTTATTAAATAAAAAGTTTCTTATAATATAGTGTGTATACTGTATAGTCTCATAAAAAGAAAAAAATGAATTTTTTTTTACTAAAGAATATAAGACAATTGAAAAGAATTCATCAATATTTTATGCTATTTTAATGATTTTTTTTTTTTTTTTTTTTTTTTTTTTTTTTTTTTTTTTTTTTTTTTTGTGTGTATATATAAATATATAATTATTGTATAACTAATTTATCTTTACAATATATAATTTAACATTTCGATATAAAAGTTTATATCTGTAATTTGTATACTAGACATGTACTGTTTCACTTCTATTTCTTTTGTGATTATTTTTTCTTTTCATTTTTTATTTCATTGAATATTTCATTATTTTCTTTTTTATTTTATGTAAAATAATGAAAAAAAAATTCTTAATTCATAATGATAATTGAAAACAGAAAAAAAGACTTAGAAATTAGGATATATGAAGAAGAAATATATGAAGATTTACAAAAGGTATATAAAGAAAAATATTCTAAATATGTTAATGAAGATAACTACGAAATTTTTGCTTATGAAGCAAATACAGATATAATAGATTACAATATATATTATGAAAATTATCAGAACAAAAATAAAAAAAATAATTCTGAAATTATACTTAAAAATATTGATGCAAATGAATCATTTAAAAAATTCATAGGAAAAAAACTAAATGCTCAAAGCGAATATTATGAGTTAACAAAAAATGACAAAAGAAAAATGGAAGCAATACAAAAATATATCCCTTTTTGTAAATATAATAAAGGAGTCCTTTCAAGAATTACTCAGATAAAAAATACACTTTCAAATATTAAAAATTACATAAATTCTAAAAAAAAACTTGAAAATAATAAACAATTATTAACTACTGATATTCTTTTACATTTACTGGAAATCGATAATAAAATTAGTGCAATTATAAAATATGGAGAGATATATGATTTAGATTTTTTTAACAATGTAAAATATTATAAATATATTAACAATTCTATAAGATGTAAAAGTTTAAATATTTTTGAAATTATTCAGAAGTTAAAAAGTATTGCCAATAATAATCAATTAGATAAGAAAATTAAAATTGTAAATTTTAATAATATATTATCATTTCAAAAAAAAATTTTCTACGATAAATTCAAAGAAATTTCTTACAAAATTGATAATTTTCAATCTTTGCTATATGAAAATTGCTTTAATGAAAGAGAAAATATTGCAAATATTTTACTCTCCTTTTATTTATTTATCAGTTTATGCTTTAACGAGAATATGAATAAAAGAATACTCAATTATATCTATTTAGTAAATTTAAAAATAAGGAAGTGCAAAGAATACTTAGAAAATGAAAAAAATATTAAAATACTAAAAATGCTTTCTGATTTTAAATCGATTACAAATATTTATTATGATGAAAAATCTTTTAAGGAAACATTTTTTATAAGTTTAAATCAAGATAATGAGATATTATTACAGTTATATAAAAAATTGCTACATAATGAAATAAGTATTGGTTTAATACTAAATGAAACGGATAAAATAAATAATTTAATTGAATTATTAAATCAAAACCTAGATAAGAATAATAAAATGATAAAATCATTATTTAATGTATTATAGCTCAAAAAGAAGAAAAAATTTTATAAATATATTTTTATTATTTTAATACAATTTTTCATAATCTCAATTTTCTTTCGAATTCCATTCATAATTTATTATTTTTTTTTTTTTTTTGCAAAGTATACTATTTTATTCATTAAAACTTTGTGTTTCTAAAAATAATTATATTAAGTGTTTTGTATTTAAATATCTCATATTATTAGAGGTTTTATATATATATATTAATTTATTTCTTTTTTTTTACTTCTTCTACTGATATTTTTGTAAAAATTAAAAAATAGAAATTAAAATACGTAATAACATATTAACGTCTTCTAAGATTATTCATTTATTTAAATATATATATATATATATAGTATCTAAATATGATATATTCTCATAATAATTTTTTAAACATTAATAGAAAAATATCATTTGCATTAGCATTATTTATATCTATATGTTCGACTTCAATTTCATCATCATTAAATTTCATTCTTTTATTGATCTCTGTAAAAAAAATAAATAAAAAAAATTATATATAGAAATTGTATTATTATATAATTTTATTAACTTTTTTAAATACCTAGTAATTTGAAAAAATTTCTATTTTTATTTATTTTTAAAATAAACAAATAATGGTTGAATCTTAAAATTTCTGAGGAAATATTTTTTATTCCTTTACATTTAAAAATAAAATTTTGTATTTTTCTAAGAGTAATTTCAGAAATTACAAATTTAAATAAATTAAAAATAGAAATAAATTTATTTTTTTTTAGATAACAATGGAGATAAGAGAATTTATCTATCATTAAATTAAAAAGTATTTTGTGAAATTTAGAATGACTTAAAAAAAATTTTTTATTACGGTATTTATTTTTTTTATTTGTTTTAAAAATATAATAAAGATTATGCATCGTCAATGAATTATTTTTTGAAAATTTCTCCAGAAATAAAACAATAGAATCTGTTTGTCTAATATCATTGCAACAATATTTTTTTTTATATTCTGAATTTCTAAAAAAATTAATTAAAGTCTTTTGATATTTCTTAAATGTATGTTTGTATATGGAAAAGTAGATATTCATATATTCTTTTATTTTACTTTCAGGTATTTTTTTTAATTTTAATTGAAATAAATAATAATTTTTGAAAATGTTTTTTATATTTTGTATATAATTATTGTAAATAATTTCATTTTTATGAAATAGGTATAAATAATCATAATATAACATATCTGTATATATATGAGAATAAATTGCAAAATTTTTGATTCCAAATCTAATTTTTAATATATTTTGTTTTATAAATGAATCAATCATATTCTGATTAGCACTTTTTAAATTCGACGTAATAGAACAATCTAAATAATCGTTTCTTTTATTTGAGTTTATAAAATTTTCTTTTTCTTTTAAAATGCTAATACTTTCCTTTTTTTTTACTCTCATTTCCTTTTTTCTCATATGACTATTAATACTTATTATATTCTTTCTTTTTTCTTCATCCAACTCTACGTGTGTTGATACATTGTCAATAAGAGATTCATAATTGATTTTACTATCATACTCATTAAGTAATAATATATTTTTTAAAATTATGTTTATATAAATTTGAGAACAAAAATCAATGTTATCATTCAATTTATATAAAAAAATTATCTTGTCATTTTTTAGTAAATTTATCATCAATTCTACTTTTTTTTTCATACCTCCACTTAGCTGATTACAATTTAAATTCATGTTACACTTTAAATTAACTATTAACATTAATAAATTGATTAAATATTTTAATTCCATAGAATTTAACTTTAATTTTTTGAATGTTATAATTAACTTTAAATGTTCATATATAGACATGCATGGTATTAATGTAATTTTGTAATCATTTTCATTAATTTTATGAAAAGACTCGGAAAATATTTTGTCTATATTATACATATTATTTTCTTCATTATATTTAGCATAATTACATATTTTATTGTCATTTTTACAAAAAAAATATTTAAAAAAATATAATATATTTAAATCATTATTAAATATTGTAGAAAAAGCATAAATTTGATATTCATTCATTTTTATATTCAAATTCTTAAATATATATTTTTCGTTATTATAAGAATTCTCTTTCAATTTTTTAGTATATTTTATAATATTATCTTGACTTATATTATCTTCATTTAACTCATAACTTACATTTGTTTCCACTTCAAATGAATCATATTTTCTATAGATTTTATTTTTATTTTTTTTTTTTAAACTAAAGCACTTCTTTATAAAATTCAAGATTCTAAAGAAAATATACATTTTTCTTTTTTTATATTTTTCATTGGATAAATAAAAATGTTTTAGGGCAAATGTATATTTTCCTTCTGATATATTTCTTTTGTTTTTTGTTTGTTTTTCTTTTTGCAATTTATTTCTTAGTTGCAATAATTTGTACATTATTAAAAGCAAATATACAAAACAATTAATTGATAAAAAGATAAAATCACCTTTTATGTTGAAATAGATATTTGAATCAGCACATATATCCATTACTTCCTCTAATTCTATTTTTGAATTATTTTTGTTAGAATGATTAAAAAAGGAAAGAGTATTTTCTTCGTTCTTACTTGTACCATTTATGTAATTAAAGTGACGTTTTATATTTAAACATAAGCTGCGAATATTTAATGAATGAGATAACGAAAAGGAATCAAATATTCTGAATATACAAACTAATATATGTGAAATATAAATTAATACATTATTAGAATATGCATAAGATAAAATAAGTAAAACATAAATAACAATATTTATAATTCCACAAAATATAAAATTAAAGAACAAAAAAACAATATAACTATTTAAATATAAAGAGGTAAACAAACATATAGACAAAAAAATATTAAAACCATAAAGTAAAAGAAAAAAGAAATAAGAAACATAAAAATAATGTTTATAATCAAAAATATATAATATCATAAAAAGAAAAAGTAAGTATATAAAATAATAAAAAAATTCTACAAGAAATATTTGAAAATAATGAGTATACTTATGAACATTAAAATACTCAAAAATTTTTCTATGTTTAATTTCATTTTTTAATCTTTCAAATAAAACGCAAAAAAAAATAACTATTGATAAAAATATATAGACATTTATATAAAAATCACTGAGAAAATGTTCATGATATTTTATGTAAAATGGTTCATTTATAATTTCCACTATATTAGAACTTTTCAAAATTTTTTCATAATTTTCTTTATTCTTTTTTATTAAGAAACTGTTTTTATTGGTATATTTATTACCATTATCATTTTCATTGCTTATATTTTCGTATATTAAATTTGAATTATCACTTAAATAATCTGATATATTATAGCTATCATTTCTTATTTGTTCATATATATGATTACCTTCTATAGATTTACTGCATGTAATAAAATGATATGGTTTATTTTCTTCACTATTTAAGATTTTTTTTTCTTTTTCATAATAATCTTCATATATTTCATTTTGAAAATCATGCATAATATTAAAAATAGAATTCATATAATATGCATATGAATGAATAGATGTATAATTATAAAATAAATTTATATTCATTTCTATTTCTGTCCTATTGGTTATGTCTTTTTTATCTTTTTTTTCTTTAATAAAAAAAACAAAAGAACCTAATGATATAATATTATCATTTTCTGACTTTCTTTTTAAATAGTTGCTTATATCATTATACAAATTATCCTTATTTATGTTATCATCAATATAATTTATTTTTTCTTTTATACAATATTTTTCCAAGAGAGTATTTATTGTATTATTATAATAATTAAATGAATTTGTTGGAAGTCTATTAAAATTATAACCATTTTTCAATTTTATTATATTTTTTACATTATTATAATTTAATTCTTTTTTTTTTTTCATTTTTTCTTTTAATGATAAACTTCTATAATTAGAATCTTCATGTTCATTAGAATGTATCATATTCATAATTTTGTGTGAATTATCACTTTCAAGATTATTCATTTCTGTCTCATATATAATATAATAATTTAAAGTTGTATTTTCTAAATTAATAGAACTTAAAGTATTATGGTCTAATTTAATATTTTTAATTTTTCCATAATTTGAAATACATTTTATTATAAAAATCCCAAATGATAAAATAAGCAATGGAACTAAAAATTTATACCAGTAAAAAATTTTATTAGATAAATCTTTTTTTAATTTTAATAATAACAAAGGTTTAATATATATAGTAAATGAGTTAATTAAATTTTTAAACAAAGAATTTCCTTTTTCATTTTTTTTTTGTAAATATATGTTTTCATTTATTTTCTTTGTATCTTCATCTATTTTATACTCTCTTATATCAGTATTGTCCTCATTTGTTTCTTCGTTTTTTTTCCTTTCGAAAAATGTTTTTTCTTCATACTTATTTTTGCTAATTTTATTATTAACTAAAATATTATTTAAGTAATTAAAGTTATACAAATTTATTTGTCCATTTCTATTATCACTAAACAATAATTTATTTTGTTCATTGAAATATTTGAAATTGTAAAGATATAAATAAAACAAAGGATCTATTTCTAATAAACATCTAATATCTTTATCTTGAACATTTTTTAATAGCTTGTTCTTCTCATTATATATATATATATATATATAAGTATAAAATATATCTATAGTTTTTATTTGATATATTAAAGTATTTTTATATTTGTTTAAAAAACAAAGTGATTTTTTCAATGATTCTATTTCATTTATTTTATATGTACAGTAAATATAATTTTCATTAAAAAATATAAAACAATTTTTATTTTCTTCTCTAATACACTTTATAAAATCTATAATTTTTTTTTTTATCAAATTATTTTTTTTATCTTTTTCATTTTCATAATTCATTAATATAATATGACTATTATTATTATTATTATTACTAAAATTATCAATTATATGACTATTATTATTATTACTAAAATTATCAATTATATGACTATTATTATTATTATTATTATTATTACCCATATTATATGAATGGGTAATTTTATTAAGAGAATTTTTTTTACTCTTTGAATTTTTGGTAAGAGATAACATGACTTTTTCTTGACTTAAGTAATCAATCTTCTCATTATTATCTTGTTTAAATTGAATATTTAAAATAAATTTGTAATCTATTAATTTTTGAAAACAATTTTTTGATCCATTAAAAATAATTTCACCACTCTTAATTATTGCTATATCATCAGAGAAATTGTTAGCTTCATAAATATCATGAGTGCATATAAAAATAATATTCTTTTTTTTTATTTTATCAAAAAAATTAAAAAGTTTCATTTTTGTTTTAATATCTAAAGCTATAAATGGCTCATCTAATATATAAATATCTTGCTTTACAAGAAAACAAATAAATATAGAAATTTTTTTTTTTATTTCATCCATTAAATTTTTTATTTTGCAATTCATATATTTTTCAAGATCTAGATCATTTAGAATTCTTAATGTTCTTTTTTTTTTTAAATACTTATCTACGTTTTTGTTATAATATAATAAAAAAATTTTAATTGTTTCATAAAAAGTTAAATTATCATATAATATAACATTTTGACTGCAATAGCTAATCTTAAAATCATTTTTTTTTTTGAAGTATCTTTTTTTGTTAATTTTATTTACAAAAATTCCTTTAATATATTTACTATACAAAGAAACGTTAGATATATTACTACTACTATCACTCATATCAACAATTTTCTTTTTTTCTTTTTTTAAAGTATTATTTATAAATGTTATTTTACCACTATCTTTTGTTATCATTTTTGTAATAATATTAATTAAAGTCGATTTTCCTGATCCATTTTCTCCTAGCAAAACAAATATTCTATTACTTTTTAAACATAAAGAAATATCTTTTAAAACATGTTTTTCACCATAGTATTTATTCACATTTTCAATTAACAAATAAAAATAATTATTATCTATTTCATTTTTATTTCTATATAAATTATATTCTTTTTGATTTATAATATTTTTTTCTATTTTTATATCCATTTTGTTTGCAAAATTTGATACATGAGTTTTTCCATTTTCATCATCTCCACTTACTTCATTCATTAATTTATCATTTTGATTTATAATATTTTTTTCTATTTTTATATCCATTTTGTTTACAAAATTTGATACATGAGTTTTTCCATTTTCATCATCTTCACTTAATCCATTCATTAAATTATCATTTTGATTTATAATATTCTTCTTCTTTTTTTTTATATAAGACAAATCTAATCTTATTCTTTTATAAAATATTATGAATGTCAAAATTAGAATTAATAATATAAAAGAGCTAACGGAATATAGAAGGAGATGCATCAAGTTTACAGATTCAATTTTAATAAATAATTGCATATAATTTACCTTCATGTTATTTTTAATTAAAATAAAGAAAAAATCTAATGACAAACAAAAAGATGAATGTGGTATTAACAGAACAAAAAATAAAAGGACTTTATTAATGCCCGAATGAATAATTAAACGGAATGAAGAGAAAAGAAAAAAAAGAAGAAAGGTTACAATGTAATTTATTGAACTACTATTAGTAAATTGCATACATATAACTGTAAATAGTAAACTATTCATTAAAAAAAGATATATATATATAAATAAAATAAAATAATTAACTAAACGGAGATAAACAAAAAGATATATAACAAGAGTAAAAAATATGTTATAAATAAATAACATAATAAAGTAAAAAAGTAGCCATGAAAAATAATAGTAATAATTATTAACATTAATACAATATAAGAAATTTACTATATTCATTTTTCTTTCTTTATTTATATCAAAACATATACTTGCAATAAATAAACAAACACATAAAAATATGATTACTCGGAATATATTTTTTTCAAAAGTATCAAATGCATTAATTTTAATAATTTTTGTTGGCATTTTAAACAAAAAAAATTTATTTAAAGATAATTTTCTCTTTGGAGTTCTTAAAAGAGAAATTTTATTAATTGCATCAATATTCATACTTTTTTTATATTCTAAATTATTAGATTCATATTCTAGTAAGAATGAATTAAAATAATATTCTAAAACTATAAAAAAACTATAGTAGTACCATTCGTTAAAATAAATATTAAAAGATAAATCATCAATAGTATTAAAATTTAGAAAATTCTGCTTTAAATTTATATTGATATCATTAAAAAATAAATTATCATTTAAATTTAATAAAGCATAATCACCTACCCTTATTTTATAGGTTATATTATTTATTAATTCATTCTCATTAACATATCTCATTTTATTAAAATTAAAATTTTTAAAGTTATAATTTTTTACATTAGTTAAATATTTATTTTCCATATTTTCTGAATTAAAATCATTATTATTATTGTATTCTTTAAAGTTAATATTTTCATCATTTTTGCTATTATAAATATTTTTTTTTCTTTCCTCCTTTTTTCCGAATGGATGAAAAAAATTGAACTTACTTTTCTTTTTTAAGTCATTTTCATTTTGAATGGCCACTAACCCACATGAGAAATTTGTTTCTATTAAATTGTTTTTCACAAAATTAATAAAAAATAATCTTTTTTTTTCATCATTAAAAAAATTTTCATAATAATTTTCATCTTTAAAATTAATAATTTCTTTTATAAATGATTTATATAATTTAGTTTTTTTAACTTCTTTTAAAGTATCTTCATCTATTTTTATATTTAATAATCTATTATATTCCTCTTTAGTATAAATATTTTTATATAAATCATCTAAACTGATAAGTTCATTGTACTTTATATTTTTTTTAAAATTATTTAATATATATGTGTCTTCTAAATTTTGTTCTTTTATATAAAAATAATTATTATATTTTATATTTTTTATATCGCTTTTCTTAATTTCTACTGCAAATTTTACTTTTTTCAAACAGTCTTCTTCATTTTTATAAATTTTAAATATATTCAAGTCATTTTTTTCAACATATGATAAAAAAGAATTCGTTATATTATTTTTAGGAGTAACACAAATATGATTTACATATATATCATCATCTATTTGTCTTCATATGGAAAAAAAAAAAAAAAAATAAATAAATATATATATATATATACTCTTATATATATTAAAATTAAATACTATAAATTGAAAATTCATAAAATAAAATATATATGCTTTATAAAGGACAGAAAATTTCAATAAATATATCTTTTTTTTCTTTTATGTATTCTCTAAAAAAAAAAAAAAAAAAAAAATAAATTTTTTTATAAACTCACTTAGAACATAGTTGATTACCCAAAAATAAAACATAATGTCGTATTGAATCATTTAATTCAATCTTATTAGTTTTTGATGGGTTATGTGCTTCTATAGAATCTAAAAAAAAAAAAAAAAAAAAAAAAATATTTTATTTTAAAAATTTTTTTTTTTACATTTTAGCACTTTTAATTAATATATATATTTTTATTGTTATTAAATTATCCTTTTTATTTTTAATAACAAAATATCTTAAAAATTTTTTCATTTATTTTTTTCTTTATAATTTTTTTTTAAATTAGATAAAAAAAAAAAAAAAAAATGAATATATATGGTTCTATAAAGAATATGTAAAAATACAAAATATATATTAAATATAATTTTATTTATTTTTTTTTTTTTTTTGTTAAATTAAAAATATAAAAACTTCATTTTAATTATTCTCCATATGTTTAAATAAAAATAATAGAAATTCAAAATAAAAAAAAAAAAAAACTTTAACATTAATCTAGCATTTTTTCTTTTATTTTAATTTAATATTTTGTTTTTATATAATTTTTATAAAAACATAAGAAAGAGAAGACATATAAATATATATATATAAATATATAAATATATATAAATATATATAATTATAAATATATATATATATATATCTATTTAATAGAAATATAATAAAGAATAAAATTGTAACAAATAGAGTTTCTAAATTTGTAAGTTTTAAGTTTACATTTATCACTTAGCTTCCTTAAAAATATATGAAACACTATTAAAAAAAATGGTACTAATAGAAAGAAAAAATAAAGAATGAAATTTTTTCTTTTTTCATAAAAACTCTTCTTTATTAAACCATATAATTTGCGAAACTTCATTCTAACACTTCAGATTTACGTTATTTTTAATAATGAAAAAAAAATAAAATAAAATAAAAAAAAACTAATTATATAATTTATATAAAAATGTATATTTTTCACAAAAAACTAGAAAAATTAGAAAAAAAAAAAAAAAAAGTAACTTAAAAAATTAAGAATAAATAAATTTGAATTGTTTCAACTCTACAAAATAAAAAATTAAAATAGTAATAGAAAATTATATAAAGGAGAATTTAAAAAAAAAATATATATTAAATAACATAAATAAATTAAAGAAATATGATAATGACATTTTGTATAAAATTAAAGAATATAGAACATCTTGAAAAATAAAATAATGTATAATGAATTTTTCTTGATAAAAAATAATTAAATAAAAAAAATATTAATTACTAAAACCTTTTTATTTTTCTATATATTATTTTATTTTTCATGTAATTATAAAATTTTAAAATTTATTATTCATAGTCAGTAGAATAAAAAGAAAAAAAAAAAAAAAAACACAATCTGTAATAATTTATTGCACTTCTTTTTTTTAAATAATTTTTCAATATTATTTTTTCTTTATAGAATATTTAATATATATATAGATAAATTTTAAATTTATTAAAGGTTCTTTTTCTTATATATAGAAATGAAGTGATTTTTACAAAACCTAAAATTGCGTTCAATAAATTATTGTTTCATTTATTCCTTAAAAAAAAATAGAAAAATTATATTTCCTTTAGTTAAAAAATTTATTAACTTATTATAAATTGATTTATTATATATATAAAAGTTACTAAATTTTTTTTTTTTTTTTTTTTTTTTAAAATATAATACATAATATTTTAATTTTTTCCATGAAAGTATTAAATTATAATTTATTAAAAGAAATAATTTCAGCAGATTGAACTAGTCCTTCAATTTCTTCTTCTTCTTCTTCTTCCTCTTCAAATTCATCATTTTCCGTTTGTTTTGCTTCTAACTCTTTTTTTTTTTTACATTGTTCTTCATCTAATCCTATGTTTTCTATCATTTCTATAATTTCATCTGTGTTAACTAGGTCATCAACAATTACACAACTAACCTATTAAAGAAAAAACACAAAAAAAAAAATATAATAAAATAATTACAGTATGGAAAAAAAATATGCTCTTAAAAAATAAAACATGTTATATAACTAATATAAATATTTTAAAAAATAAAATAATAAAAAAATAATAGAAATCAAGTAGGTTAAAATATCTTTATATGTAAAAGAAATGATGGATTTCATTATAGTAAAAAAAAAAAAAAAAAAAAAAAAAAAAAAAAAAAAAACAATTAAAATACAAAAAAAAATTAATACTTGCAACTTAAAAAGTCCAAAAGCAAAAGGAATTTTCTTATAAGCTTCTCCCCAAGTTAAACCATCAATTTTAATTTCTTTTACAAGTTTTAATACATAATCTAAATCAGTATTTTCACCATATGGTTTTATTTCAATGATTAAAGAAGATCTATTGTAATTAAATAAAAAAAATTATGTTTATAATAATTAAATGTATTTTTATGTAATTTTTAAGTCTTTTACAACTTTTAAAAATCATATATTTAATATTTTATATTTTAAAATTTTTTTAGGCGATTTTTTATATTCTATATATTAATATTTTATTATTTTTTTTTTTTTTTTTTATGTACTTATTAATGACTTCTTTCTTATTCGTTTTTTTATTTGTATTTATTTTTTCATTATTTGTATTTAGGTTTTTTCCATCATTATGTAGAATATAATAACTCAAAGGTATATATAATTCATCGTATATATTTGCCATTTTTATGTTTCTTAAATTTTTATAAATCTGTAATAAAAAAATATTCTCTTTTTTTTTATGTTTTAAAAAGGGTAATAAACTTATAATATTTAAAAAATTACAAATACAAATTAAAATTTAGTAAATTAAAGAGAAATGAAATAATAAAAAAAAAAAAAATGTATTATAAAAAAAAAAAATGAAAATATTTTTCGTATCAATGTTATACATTTAATTTTTCAACATGCTATTAATTTTATGTTTACATGTATAAATATTCAAATAATTTTATATTATATATTCATTCTTTTTTGTTACATTTTTTTTTTTTTTTTTTTTTTTTTTTTTTTTTTTTTTTTAA